AGGAAATTTGGAAAACTGAAATTTCAACGAATTGCTCCCCGTCCGCACTTCCTGGATTTCGAGGATCAGTATATCACGCATTTCTAGCTACTGGGTTCCGAGCGATCTCATTATAGCATGAAATGTTGCAAAAACGTATTATCGCACGGGCCCGTCCATTGCGCGTCGCCAATGATTTCATTCATTTCAATAATGAAATGGCACCAATGTGTGTCTGGGAGCAGAAAGCCTTTACTGCATTTCAGAAACAGTCCTTGAAAGGAGGTTCCCATCGATATCCTTGTCAGTATGTGGTTCCTTTTGGTAAAATGCTTTCCGTTCGAGTCATTTTTCCGAATGCTTCCGTCTTTTATCAGGTGTGGAATTACGGGAAAGTTTTGAATTCAGCTTTAATCTATAACATTTATTGAAACATTCCCTGCCATACGTTTCCCTCCAGTTTGGTTTAGTAACCGATGTAACAGTGTGCTGTCTGACGGCATTTTCCGCTGCTGACACGAGTAAAACAGTCTGTGGTTTGCAGCTGTAAGAAAAAAGGACATTTCAGGATGATAATAATGAACATATTGCTCACTCATCCTCCTTCCCAACAAGCCTTTGTAGTTCGCAGCAGCGTGGGACGCTTTCTTCCAGGACGCCATCGGCTGTACAGGTTGTATTTTCGCTTTTTTTTTTCGAAAAAAAAACGATAAAACAGTTGTAAAGTGTTTCTGAATTGCAGTAAGCTCAGGCTGCTCTCTGAGAAGCTACTGGGAGCGTTTAACAATTCGTTAAATTTTTGAGGAGTTGGACCAACGCACTATTTTTGCTGTTTGTAACACCAGCAACATGCGATTGCTTATCTAAATTTAAGCTAATTCAACATTGAGGCAGTTCTACAGTTGTGGTAGCAGGGTAATAATTAGCTGGATTTCTCAGAAGAATTACGTTTCGTTGCAGTCGTCTTCATCCTATACCTCATCGTTATCAACAGCATCGCCACAGCACAGCTGGTCGAACTCCGGTACTCCAAGACATCAGACAGATTTTGATTCCACTGCTACTTTGCCGCCACTTTCGTCAAGGCCAGTCAGTCGTCCTGCTCCAAGGTACCACTTAATACGTGCCCGTTACACAACAGGGATGTATGCCATCCTTCATTTTCCCAGGCCATTCGGTTCCAGCGCGTTAAGAAAGCTAGAAAGTTGATCCGAAGCAATAAAACTGAATCCAACCTGCTACTTCAATTTTATCCTGATGATTCCTCATCTTTTCTCCCTCCCCTTTCATCTCCTCATCCCGTCTCATAATTCAGAATAAAGCGACCATAAAAGTCAAGGATCGGATTTTTGCGGGAGTACCTATAGCCGGATTCTTATTCACCTACGGTTACCCGCAGTAAAGGCCAGATATGTGAGGGAGTGCCTGTCGTTAGGGGAAGAAAGTTTTACTTTAGAGCACTTGTGATATGGGCCGTAGAAG